ATCAGGAAGATGAACGCCGCAATTCTGGTCCTGAAGGAGGGTGGGATGTAGACCTTAGTGAACATGTCGTTGGTACGACCATGTAGACCCTCGTCCGGATCTGGAGCGCCATCAGCCCGCTCGTTGTTGTCGGTGACCTCCAAGAACACTGGGTTGCCCTTTGGGATACGCACTTGGTCGGAAGCTGGAGCCCGTACAAATCTGCCGTCCCGGACGAAGTAAGCACCAAGCTGCTTTTCGTCGGCGCTGCGACGCTCAGATTCACCGACGATGGGGTGTTCAGTATCGCCTTTCTTTCCCGAAAGAAGATCAAACCAAGTACGTCTCACATGATAACCTTCTTCATCGGTGTGCCTTTCACCAAAGAAAAAGCTGCTGAGTCGTAAGAACCGCGCGCATTTATGGAACCACCAGTTGTAAAGCTTATGTAAGCCGTCAGAGGGCTTGATAGACCGTATGGCAAGGGGCATAGCGAAGTTGTAGAATAACAAATCAGCGGGGAATTCGAGCACAGGGATTGTGGCAGACCACCGAACAGGCAGCACCCCATCAAAGGCATAGTATAGGCCCCAGACAACGCCACCGAGGCAAACGATGACCAGAGCCCCGTATACGAGAGCACTGAAGGCTATCTTGCGCAGTTGAGTGGTGATGTTGCGTTCAAGTACATCTCGCACGGGATGGAAAGTCGGGTCATCGGGGTCGCGGATGAAGTCTGTCAGTCATAGTTAGCGAACGAATGTTCGAACAGGCTTAGTTTAGAGCACTTACAGAGAACACCACTCCTCATGATTTTTCGACACATCGAAACAAATAGAGCAAAATGGAACATATAACAAGTGCCTATGAACCAGTGCACAAAGAGTGATGTAAGTGGGGAGGAGGAGGTAAACTCAAGCCGGGAGGCTATCGTAGCGTTCTCAAAGAGAGGTAGCAAGGCGAGGTCGAGCAGGGTACCACAGTACAGTGGAAAGACAATCATTTCAATCCCGATTATCAAAATGACTTTCATCACTCCACCAGCTTGGTGAAGTATGTCCGCGACGAGGCCCTCGACCCTCTGTCCACGACTTGTCCCTGTGAACAGGCTAGTAATACGAAGGTAGAGGAGTCCTAAAATCGACGCAAGCACATAACCCATGATAATGGCAATAATACGGTCTTTAGTATCCCAAACCGCCAATTCGGGATCAAGGCCCAAACCGGTGGAAGTCGCCCCTGTCACAGTGGCATCGAACCACTTCGCGCCTTTCCCTGGGAAGAAAGGGCGTTCAGCAAAGCTGTACACCTGCTGTCGAGCCTGGGCCAAAAGGCTGCTCAAGTCGATGCTTTGACGATCAAAGGATAAAGCGCCTAGGAGTCCATTTGTAGTGATTTGGAGGGGCAGATCGTGCACTATGAATTTGACGAAAGTCACAATGGACTGACAAAGACCAGAGATGCGCGCTTGATGGATCCTGAGCGCCTGATGAGACAGAACAGAGAACACTGGAACGTCGGATTCGTGGAAGACAAAGAACGCGCTGACCACGTTCTTCAACCGGTGACTGCTTGCATCGATAAGCGACAATGATGCGCTCGTGATGGACTTCGTTTGGGGAATCCAATCGCCTAGCGGTATGAAGGCGCTCAAGGGGCCAAGCAGCACTTTGCAAACAAGGCTGACCGCATACATGAGATAGCCAAGACTGCCAATAAGAGTGTCAAGTGTGACATCTGCGATAACCGATACTGCAGTCACAGGTACACCGAAGATGAGTTGAATGGGGTTTGCGAGGAGGACGAGTGCGATCTTTCCCCACAAATAGGGAAGCCAGACCCCAATAGCCACTGTAAATGAAATTAAAAGAGCGCTGAAGACTCCGTTCTGAAGCAAGCCAAATATGGGGCCTTGCATGCCGATAAGTTCGAGAATTCCTTCTAGATCGTCACCTTCTTCAACAGCATCCAGGTCGTTGGGATCAATTCCTGCATCCGCACCAATGCCCTGATTTTGCTGCACATCATTGACAGGACGTCTATTGTTACGGATTGGTACAAATGGTGCTTCTGCCGCAAGATCTTCCACCACTGCCTCGTCATCTCGTGGCGGGCCCTCCTGATCCTGCTCACGTGGTATCAGATCAGCCCAAAACCATTCAAAAGCTTTGGCAGCGAAGCTCCTAGGAGGAGCGGCGGCAGGAAGGTCAACTTGAGCGTCAGGAGGTGCCGTTTCATCATTTGTATGACCCACGGTCGGCAAGTCTTGTGGGCTCACAGGCGGTGGGTTGCTAGAGACTTCATCACCGTTGTTTGTGTCGTTCAACTGTCCCTCACCATTACTTCCTGTATTAATTTCTGACTCGGGCTCCAATTCAGGGAAGCCAAAGGTGAATTCATGGTGATGTGTATTCGAGTCCGTCTCAAAAGCTGAATTGGGCATGTCGGTGGCGTCCCAGGCCCGATACGTGGGCGCTGAGTCTGAGATTTCAGTGGACCCAGACGGAGCTGGATGAGAAGACTCTACGGAAGAAGCCCGGCTTCGAAATCCTGGGGTCCCGAGGTCATCCCATTGCGTGCTGGAGCTGAAGCGAGCTTCGGAGAATCGAGGGGTGTCATTTTGTTGAAGCCTTGTCATGGCTGTGACAACCCAACCAAGCTCCTCTTCCCGACCATCTTCTCTAATGATTCTTAGAATCTGCTCAGGGTCACCATTGCCGCGGGACCAGAGGTCTCTGAAAGTCTCAACGCCAGCCCAACCTCCCTGGTTACCTCGAGTAGGCGATCTTCTCGCAAAATGGCCGGCATTCGCTCCATTGTCGCTATCACTACCATTTTCTGAAAAAGTTGCGGGACCAGCCCTTTCCACAGGCTCGGCCGCTGGCAAATCAGCGCTTTCGCCGCTTTGAAGAGAAGGCCTGCGAGTTGGCCGGAGAAAATGAATATCGTGTAGACCAACGTCATCATGGTCGGTGCCGTGCTCTGCCATATGCTCTCCCTCGTCCCCTAACACATCTGCACGGTGCACATGAGCCCGGGGCTCAGGCATTGGACGGTCGTCATTCCTATTTGGACGGTTATTCGCTATCATCTGCACTGCTGCTTCGCGTTCACCATCAGCAATATTGGCCATTGGCTGCTGTTGAACAACCCATTCTCGGATCAAAAAGACGAGTATAAACGAAACAACGACGAGCAGCGTGATAAGCTGCCCCTCCAGCGTGTCGATGATAATATTATTGATGGTGGGCGATGGGGTCAAGGAGTTGAGCAACTTCACGTCCGAAAGCCACGAGGGGTGGCGGTGCTTATACAGTCCGGTAGTCACATTCAACGGCCGCGAGTTCGACGGGCCACTTCCCGATGGTATGGCTGAAAAGAATAGTGCGGACATCACCTTCTTAGCGACTGTAAGCAGAAGCGGGTCACCAGAGGGGAAAGTGAACATGGATGACATTGGGGAGTAAAATGATGATGATGAATTCGTCGCATTTGACAAGGCAGCACTCGGAGTCTGCAAGATTGAGGTAGCCACTCCGGCCGCAAGGGAAGTAGTTTCGTTCCCAGCAGATTGCCGAGCTTGAAGCTGTTGGGAGGCGTCACCGCCGGACCAGTGGCCATCTGCAAGCCAGAACAGTGCTCTCCAAATTGCCCTCATAGACCATGGAAGCCACCCGAGCCAGACAAACGCAACCAGGATGAACCGTAGCCATGTAACAACAGTGCGGAAGCTATGGATAAATAGCTGTTTCAAGAACAAAGGCGCGGGGAGGTTTCGAGGCATGTTCGGGTCGTATAGCTTCGTAAATCGGAAAGGCGTCTTGCAAAGCTCGCAGTGCTTCTTCTGAGAATGCGACAGCCATTCTACCAGGCAAGGCTGATGAACAAACTTGATGCTGCCGCTACATTTGCAAGGGTAGAACAGCGGCTCCTCCAGTGTTCCTTCACCGCGACAAATGCGACACGTATCTGGTTCCTCAAAATCTCTTTCCTTTCCCTTGTTGTTCATCGCAAAAGCAGAATCGTTCATCAGGTCTGGGAAAGTTGTGTGGCCCGCATACTGGCGGGGTTGCTCCTGCGGGAAATCCATGCTTTGAATAGTGTTGTTTCCGGCGTCTATCCGACGATTCTTAGGAGGGGTTGCAATTTGTCATGATAAGAGGGATTAACGGTGAACTTGCGATTCTAGTGAATGACCGTTGAGCTCAGAGATCGACAATGTATGGAGTACCTTGTCCCAAGTCAAAGAAAGAAGGAACATGAAGCAGTCACCTTGAAATATGAGCCAGGTCCTTGCAGGAGTCAAGGTTGCAAGTAAGACGCGCTTGGGGCTTACACACTAAGCGATATTCTGCATCTATTTTCCACTATGACAGGCAGTGGCAAGTGTTCCAAGCAGGCAGACGATTATGGTCATGGATATCAAATATCCAAAGCGATCTCTGAGATACTCAGCGGAGGGAGTGCTCAAAGTCATGTGATATTACTGTATCTTACCAAAAGTCATGCAGATATTCCTGTATTGTAAGCCATAAGAGTGTAAAGCACGGTAATACGATCAGCGACGCCACTGATGTCTGAGCGATGACCTCACCGATGGAGCAAGGAAAACAGTTATTGATAACCTGCTGCAGGTTGATGCCATTTCTGTGATCACTCAAATTCTAAACTTTCCTTCCAACCCCTTATAGCTCTCGCTGAGTCTAACCTCAAAGATTGCTGGGTCGAATGCGCAAGACAACTGTTGATTCTCTGGTCTCCGCCAAGATCTGGAACATATCGTCGCGCGTCTCCATTTCCGCCGTAAATTGACAGGCGTTCAAACGATAGTCAACTACCGTCTGAACGAGAAACAGCTTGACCCTCGACTAGACCTCGGGATGCCTTCTCGGTGATCTATAGAGATACGCCAAAGATTCGCCTACAACAGGCTAATTCGAACACGCGATACCTCGTCATTTAGCTTTTAGCAGCGGAAAATCAGTGTCTCACGCGCATCCGACCTGCGCATTGACTTCACAATGGCGACCGTGGAGAATGGACACGCCTCGGACGGCATTGTCAAGTCGGTGGAGCTTCGCTCCCGACCGAGAAAGACGAATCCTTTCAGATGGACATTTGGTCTGGTAGTGCGGTATGCTCGCCTTTGTGATGTTCGATGATGGTATGACTCGGGCTAACAGGAAATAATTTGCAGACTTTGTATATGGTACGTTCTGCTCGCACCGATTTTTAGATGTCCTTCGCATCTTTCGGAATTGAATGAATCGTCACCGCGAGTATGCAAACCATACCTGGCTGTGCGATCCCACATTGAGCCTTATGTTTTGCCATACTATGATAGATACGGTGCACCTTATGTTGAAATTGCTCGTCCATATGTACAAGTCGTGAACGAGCATGTCTACACCCCGGCAGCGACAGTAGCGAGACGGGGATATGATCAATATGGTGCTCCTGCTCTGGACCGGGCTCGAGCCTATGGCCAGCAGCAGTGGGAGGCCCAGGTTATCCCTCGTCTGCAGAATGTGAAAGAAAGGGCAACAGGATTGTACCACTCCACAGTCGATCCATATGTGCAGCATGCAAAGGATATCGTTTTTCCTTACTACAACAAAGTTAACGGCGCCGTCATAACCGTGTGGGATGGTTACGTTTTCCCCGTCTTTGCTCGATCGAGGCCATTTATTGGGAAGACATATGCGTCTGGCCAGAATGTACTGGCGACTACCGTGCTGCCATACGCGCAAAGCACTTGGTCATCCGTGATCTATTTTGCGAATAGTGCTCTATGGCCGAAACTCACTGGTTTATACTCGGAAAATGTTGAGCCTCAATTAGTCAAGATTGGACAGCGACTAGCCAGCTATCGGGAAGGAAGACGACTGCGAAAAGTCATGGATGAGGCTGATAGGTAAGCTTCACACTTCAAAGATTTCTAGAGTATAGGTACTAACGAAAGATCCTCAGTTCTATGGATCAGCAGACGCAATCTGCCGTCACATCGGCTGAGAAGAGCCCGGACTTTGAATCAGCCATGACAACCACTGCAACTGTGGCCCCTGTGACCCACACCACACTGTCACCTGCCGAGCAGACCGCGCAAGCTCGCGAAAAGATTGCTTCAGACCTTCAAACATGGCAGACAAAGTTCGCCACTGCCGTGGAAAAGGGTTCTGAAGATCTCGAAGAACGCGTGGAAGAGATAGTGGAAAGCTACATTAGAAGCGGTGTAAACAGTCATGGCGAGAGTCTTATAACAGCTCTAGAAACTGTCGTGCAGGATGAGATCTCGTCTGTCAAGCTCCGTATTAACGAATTGGCCGAATCACTCCCAAGCGAGGAGGCGCCCGAGCAGGAGGGAAAGGTCCAGGATGAGCTTTTGAAGGAGATCAGACGGGCTGCCATTTCTGTCAGAGATCGCGCACATGCAGTTCGGGAATGGCGGAACTCATTCGACCAAGAGTTAATCAGGCGTACTTCAGCAGCAGTCAACTCTACGCTCGATGTTCTGGATAGTGTGCGAGACCTGGGTCTCCAGGAAATTGGTATGCGATGGGCATGGATGGAAGGCGTCACATACAAGGATTGGGCGAAGTACCATGCCCTCAAAGCCCAATTCGAAGACTGGAAACATGACATTTTCAATGTCGGAATGCAGCATGTGAAAGTCGAGGAAGCTAAGGCATTGGCCAATGATATTCTAGGCCGTGGCATGGAGGTCGCAGAAGACGCTGCAAAGGAGCTGGCCAGGCTCAAAGACGTTGGCAGATGGAAGATCGCGGCTCGCGAAGCAAGTGATGATTTTGAAACAAGAACTGGGGACCCTCCTCCACTACCAAAGCGCAGCAAGACTGACGAGGAGTCGAAAAGTGCCCAGGCTGACAATGCTGATACTGAAAACCATCAATCCATCGAGAGCTCTGAGCAAGCTACATCTGGCACAGTCCCGGATCCTGAAGGCACAGCAGCTCACGGCAAAGGAGATTCTGAAAATGATCTAGGTCTTGATGATGATATCCCATTGACCCAGGACGAATCACCTGTATCACACGATGATAGTCTGCCAAAACACTCCAGAGCCAGTGATGTATCATCTGCAGGAGACGGAGTCAGCCCCGCATCGGTGCCAGAAGCAGACGCAAGCGAAAGCGTTGAGCCGGTCAAGATGGCCTGGGGTGTTGCTGCGGCTGAGTCTGTGCCGAAACAAGATGCCTCCGAGCATCATGGCTTTCCCGAGCAATTGCAGGAGCTTGTCAGCCAGGCCGATGACCAGTTCGCGCAAGTAACAAGTGCCGCCGGCCAAGCTTGGTCTGATGGCAGCGTCGCGTCCTTGGCTCACCAGGCCGCTTCTAGCATCACCTCAGTAGCAGCAGAGGTTACGCCACTTGCATATATCTCGTCTGTGGCTTCCTCGAAGCTGAGCGAAGGCCTTAGCCTCGCCTCGGCCCAACTTGACAGAGTCCGAGCGACGGCAACTCCAACAACAGCTGTCGAGCAGAACCGTATCCTCCTTGACGCACAACGACGTTACTACGAGGCTGTTGGTATGGCACATGACCATTACTCTGCATTCGTGTCCTCTGCCTCTCGAGCGGTGTATGGTACCCCTACTCCGACAGGACACCTTGAACAAATGGCTAGTAAAGCATCCGAGAACTGGGAGAGTCTTGTTTCCACGGCTAGCGAACACTTTTATGGCTCTCGATCGCACTACACGCCCCCGGCACTGAGTGATTTGGTTCCTCAATACGAGGCCATCGAACAATTAGTATCTGAGCTAATAGTTGGCAAAGAACCTTCTTTTACGGAGAAAGCCCTAAGCAGATTGCACGCCATCTACGAGACCCCATACCCAGCCTCCGCGCTTTCAGCGGCTTCGAGTTACGTCATTGGCGACCATACCGCTACCACTGCTGCTCCATTTGGCTCGATCACGAACGTTCCATCGGTTGAGAACATTCTGCAAAATGCCAACGAACAGTTCCAGTCTGCGGTCAATGCCGTGAGTGTTCAGTTGTATGGTACCCCCAAGGGTCCCTTCGAAAAGGCCACATCTTCAGCTAGCAGCGCTATGTCAGCGGCCTCCGCCCACATCAGCGAAGCCGTTTACGGAACTGAACCAGGATACTTGGAAGCCGCTCAGGAAGCCCTTGAGCATGCATACGCATCTGCCGAATCCGCCATTAGAAACGCAGTCCTTCAGTCAGCGAGTCCAACCGAAGCTGAACAAGGAGCTTTTGCCAGCGCCACAAGCAAGCTGGCGGAGGCTGTAGAAGGAGCACAGGGCCAGCTTGCAAACCTGGCTTCTAGTGCCAGCAGCCTCGCCTCGGCTGCGGTAGAGACAGCCACATCAAAAGTGGTGGTCCTCACTAGCGGCGATGATACGCCTGTTAAGGACGAGTTATAGTCCAGAAAACTGTGGAGGTAAAAATCTTGCTGCCCTTGTACGGAGTACAGTGGCCAATATGTGTTCTCATGTTTCCCACGACTTATTCCCCATTGATGTTTTCTTCATTCCCACCAATCATATATTGCTTTCCAGATGGATCATGCCGATTTTGACTTTCTGAAGCACTATTCCCCATATAGTTTTCACTGATTGTCGCACGCCATCTGTTCCTCTAGATTTTCAAAACATGTACACAACTTCTCAGGCTGTTTTTCCTCTTTCTCGTTCCGCTACCTGATTTCTATGTCAAAGTGAGGTTTTCACACTAAAATGTACGTGACTTTTTGGCAATGCAACAGGATATTTTCCTTTCTGACTCCATGTTTCTCCATATCTCCAATCTCCAAAAGCTCGTGAGCAATTCTATTGATATCGTCTTCCTGTTGAAAGATGTTGTCTCAATCAGGACCTAACGATCCATGGCTTAATGTATAATAATACAGTCGGCATGGAGCCGCAATCACCGGTACTGCATGCGTTGTCCTCCACGCTTCTCCATCTTCTTCTGTCTCTTACTTTCTGCGACGGGTGTGTCCGCTCCACCCATTCCGGCCAACCCGCTCTTCATCCCGGTGAAGGTGGTATAGGCCAACCAAACAGAATATACGGGAATGACGATCCACAGCCACCAGGCGCGATCTCCAAATAGACAAACCGCCCCCATACAGCCCCAGGTCCAGTAGAGGATATCCCACATGTACTCCGTCAGACCGGAAGCTCCGAGGTCCTCTCCGGGAGACCGTAGGGAACCGTCGGCAGGGTTGTAGCTTGGACGGCCCAGTCGTTCAAGATAGAATTCGATGGCGAGTGTTGGACATGCAAGGAAGAAGTACGGCTTTAACGAGCGTGGACGGTTGAAGGTCCAGTGCAGGAGCAAGAAGATGGAATGCAGACAGAGGGTGATTATGTGCGTGCGCAAGAGGAGGGAGGCATTGCGGGCGGCAAGGGTCTTGGCTGCTTTCTATAACAGGTCAGTATGTCGCTTATGTCTTCTCTCCTTTTGATCTTTCATTCTGTGAAGATCGAGGATTGAAAATGCGGATGGTAGAGGAAGTGATGTACCTGCGCCATAGTGACGGAATGTTCAGTAATGTCAGAAGAGTAGAGGCAACCGTCGCAGGGCGATGTATGTAGGTGTAGATGGATGGTCTCTTCGCCAAGTTCATACAGATTATATTTCAAGTATAATGGCACAAGGCATTATTATTCTAAACACATGTTCCACTCTTCTTGATGTTATCTCGTGCGCACTGGAGTAAAGTAGAAGCGGCATGGTCGGTTGCCCTCCACGACAAGACAAGCGCCCGCGCCTCCGTCAGCACCAGCCACTTTTCCTAATCTGTTATACTCGGCCGCCCCAAAACATCCGCATGCTCCAAAAAAGGCACGACCTGGACCTGGATCTGGCCTGACACGATCGATCGACTTGACAGTTCTCCTCCCCCGCCCCTCTTGTTTCGGGAAGCCGTTAGCTGCGCGCCTTTCGCTTGTCATACTCAACTCTGGACCCTTTTTCATCTCCCGATATGCCTTTTTGATTTCCCTTGGAGGCTCTTGCTTTGCCTGGAGGGCGTCACGAGTCGTCCTGGACGTCATCCATTCACTTTGGCTTCGACACGGCCTCACCTCAGGGTCGACATCTGGGATTCACAACGTGAAGGTGGACAGGCCGTTGAAAGGATTTTGTAACACTGCAAATCGCTTACTCCAAAACGTGGCTCTTTGTGTCGTATCCTTTGTTGTGTTGGACGTGGACTACTAGTCTCCGCCGTAAAGGGAACTTTGCATCGTCGTTTCCTCACCTCTGTTTGTCGACACGTCCGGGACTTAATCATCAGAAAAGAACGGCCTGCGATCACGGCCGACCTCATGCTCGCCTATCGCTCGAGAACATCCCCTCACCGACTCTGACCCGCGTACTCAGTACCCTGGCCTCACGACACCAACACTTCTCCCCTAGTTTCGCATACCTAGAACACGCAAACATGTCGCCATCAATATCCTACATTTCAGGCCAGCTTAGGCAGCTAATATACTATCATCTCGATAACAATTTGTGCCGTAATGCGCTGTTCCTCGCCGGTCGTTTACATGCTTACGAGCCCCGAACGGCGGAAGCGTCATATCTACTCGCTCTCTGTCACCTTCAGAACGGTCAAGTCAAAGCCGCATACGATTACAGCAGGAATTTTGGATCGAGAGGCACCCACCTCGGCTGCTCCTATGTCTTCGCGCAAGCGTGCTTGGACCTAGGAAAGTATCTGGAAGGTATCACAGCGTTGGAGCGAAGTAAAGGCCTTTGGGCTTCCAAGAATCACTGGAGTAAGCATTCCTTGCGGTGAAACTTGCAGTCGACCTGCATTTATCTCGTTGCTTTTCTGTTACTGACATATTTGCACCTTTTGCTCTAGATAAGCACAGTGAGACGCGAAGACAACACCTGCCGGATGCAGCTGCAGTATTCTGCCTGCTAGGTAAACTATGGCATGCGCATAAGGACATCAACAAAGCTGTGGAATGCTATGTTGAATCTCTGAAGCTGAATCCCTTCATGTGGGATGCGTTCCAAGGGTTGTGCGATACCGGTAAGCTTTGGAGAATAAGCTTAATACATCTAGCCATGGCTAATTGTATTCTACCGCCAAGGCGTCAATGTCCGCGTGTCGAACATCTACAAGATGAATTCTGAATTGCTGGCCGTATTGTCTTCATCGCCACAGGACGACGCTGAGCCAATATCCGATAAGTCTGCACAAACGAACGGGCCACTGCAAGCGCAGGCGAATGTCAATCCAAGTTCCGATCCTTTTGCCTCGACTACTTCTCGCAGTGATTCAGGTACCAGCCATGGGAGCTCTGCCTTGTGGGAAAAACTAAATGGAAGCACAGTAAGCGTGGCGTCATCGGGAGTGCCAGCATCAATCGTGCATGAAGGGGCCGAAACGCCGAGTGGTCAAAGCAGCGGATCTGATGAGTTCCGGTTAGCCAACGGAAAGAACGGCGTGGATGCTCCTTGGGACCCTCCTTTAGCTCCTGCAAGGAAAAACAGAACGATCCAGGCAATAAGCGGCGAGTATCCAATGGACCCCCCGCCCAAGATGAAACCCACGGGGATCCGACCAAGGACAAGAACCAGGACTGATCCAGAGGACCAAATTTCAACCCAGACAGACCGGGAGGCTACAATTGCGCCCAGGGTCGGGGACCGCAAGCGAACTGTTTCTGGTCAGGTAGCGCACCCCCCCACGTCACAACCCACGGAACCAGGAGCACCCCAGCGGCGGAGTGTGCGACTCTTCAACCAGATCAAACCCACGACCAGCAAATTGTCGGCATCCGCATTGGGAGTCAAGGATGCTAGAGAGGTCAAGAAGGCGAAGGCCACAGGCACGAAGGGCCGTACTACAACCACCACCATGGGACGAGTAGTGAGTGGCAGTCGAAAACATGGCAGCGAACATCATGATGCAGATGGTAAAGACGGTCGGTCGGTACCGTCTGCCCACACTCACGCCATCTCCAAAGGCACTGCACATGAAAGATCAAAAGAAATCGAGGCGTTGACCTGGTTGCTGGAGCTATTCTCGAAACTTGCTTCTGGATTCTTTGCGTTGTGTCGCTACCGATGCTCGGAGTCAATCCAGATCTTCAATTCGCTCTCTCATGGCCAACGGGAAACGCCGTGGGTTCTCGCTCAGATTGGACGAGCGTATTATGAGCAGGCTATGTATTCCGAGGCAGAAAAGTACTTCTACCGTGTGAAGACCATGGCACCCTCGCGCTTAGAAGACATGGAGATCTACTCGACTGTCCTTTGGCATCTGAAGAACGATGTTGAGTTAGCCTATTTGGCGCATGAGTTGATGGAAACAGACCGCCTGTCGCCACAGGCGTGGTGCGCCATCGGTAATTCGTTCTCCCACCAGCGGGACCATGACCAGGCCTTGAAGTGCTTTAAGCGGGCAACACAGCTGGATCCCCAGTTTGCCTACGGGTTTACTCTTCAAGGGCACGAGTATGTTGCCAACGAAGAATACGACAAGGCGCTGGATGCATACCGTCACGGTATCAGCGCTGATAGTCGGCATTACAATGCTTGGTACGGATTGGGCACGGTCTATGACAAAATGGGCAAACTGGACTTTGCCGAACAACACTTCCGGAATGCGGCAAGCATCAACCCGACCAACGCAGTTTTGATCTGCTGTATTGGTCTGGTACTGGAAAAAATGAACAATCCTAAAGCGGCTCTCGTGCAATATGGTCGCGCTTGTTCCTTGGCACCTCATTCCGTACTCGCGCGATTCCGCAAGGCCCGCGCATTGATGAAGCTCCAGGAGCTCAAGTTAGCTCTGTCTGAGTTGAAGATTCTCAAAGACATGGCTCCAGATGAAGCCAACGTGCATTATCTGTTGGGTAAGCTCTACAAAATGCTTCACGACAAAGCCAATGCCATTAAGCACTTCACGACTGCTTTGAACTTGGATCCTAAGGTATGCCCATCACTTCCGTTCTGTCATATTAACAGACAATGCTAACGGATTCGGTTCAGGCAGCACAATACATCAAGGATGCCATGGAATCTCTCGACGATGACGAAGAGGATGATGAGGACATGAGTTGATTTGCTGTCCACTTCCCACACATCGATCCAATTCTGGATCTTACTTGCTCCCCCCTTCTTCAGCAGGAGCCTGCTATTCGGGGCTTGCATTCATGAGAGTCGGCGTTGAATTTGATTTTGGATTTTCGCAGCATTAGCATTATAAGGGCGTTTTGCAGGCCGGGTTGGTTAGAGGTGCATTTACCCTGCATCAGGTTCTTTCTCCAAAAGGGAGCCGAGGCTCGTGGATCTTGTTTCTTGTATATTAGCGTGGGTTGGCTTTGTCGGGCTGGTCATTGGCTGCATCTGAGAGACGAAGACGCCTGAACGACAGATCCATGGACATAGATGTCTGTCGAATAAGGCACTTGCATAATCTGCGATGTCATTCTTATGCCTATTCTTATCCTTACGGAAATCAATTCCATCATATTTGAGCCTGAACCATGGAATTCCTCAAGAATAACTAATACCGCTCTACTGCGTATGTTGTAGAAGTAATTGCAGAGCTTCAAGGCGGTGAGCGGCAGAATGATGTTGGTGCCCCGAAAATCAGGAAAAAAGTTCCAGAGGTGGACAGGCAGGATATCGTTGGTGATCTTCTTCTGGCACGAGCATTAACGACCCATTCTTCGCGCTTCCTTATTCCTAATCTCTATCCGGTTACCAGGCCTTAGAATCCCGAACCTGCCAACCTCTGTCACATCCTCGGGTCATGGCCATTGCCGCTTTCTAAGTCTCCTGCGCATCCTTGTTCCGACCACCACTCCTGACCTCATACCCGAAATCAGCTGCCACGGAGGGGTACGGCTCAGCAAGAGTGTGAATATTACGACTTAGTGACTCCGAGGCTACTTATACAGCTTATCGTAACTCTAAAGATTAGTGTGCCTTGTCTTTTGACATGTCGCTCCTGTCCTACATCGCCTCGGGCATCAGCTCGTTTGTCGTCGTGACGCTTTCCCTTTTCGCGCTCGGTCAAAAAGTCCCTCGCGCGGCCTTTTTCGCTCGGTGTCTGGCGGCCTATGGATCTCTCTTGCTTTGCGCATGCTATGGCGTAATCGCATCCATTCTTCTTCGCCTTGTAGGCTACGGCCGGGTCTCCCAATGGGCCACCGCGCGCAGTTTCAAATGGGTTATGCGGTATACAACCGGCGTACAGTTCGACATTATCCAGGGCGCCGAGCACCTCTCCACCCGGCCTGCGGTCTTCATCGGCAACCATCAGTCCGAGCTCGACGTGCTCATGCTAGGCTACATCTTCCCTCCCTACTGCAGCGTCACGGCGAAGAAGTCGTTGAAAAATATCCCCTTCTTGGGTTGGTTCATGGCGCTGTCGCGGACGGTTTTCATTGACCGGGCCAACCGCGAGACGGCGATGAAGGCGTTTGATGGTGCGGCGGAGGAGATGCGCAAGCACAGACAGAGCGTGTTCATATTTCCCGAGGGAACGAGGAGTTATTCTGAGAAGCCCGAGCTGCTGCCTTTCAAGAAGGGCGCGTTCCATCTGGCGGTCAAGGCGGGGGTGCCGATTGTCCCTATTGTCGCGGAGAACTACTCGCATATCCTGTCGCCGCGGAATATGCGGTTTAACCCTGGCGTGATCAAGATCAAAGGTGTGTGCATGTGAGGTTGTTTTTGCGCTGTATGAGACTAACTGGCCCCTCCTAGTCCTACCTCCCATCAGCACGGAGGGCTTGACCGCTGCGGATGTCGACCGGTTGACCAAGACCACTCAGGAGAGCATGCTCAAGGCTCTCCTCGAGCTCTCCGATCAGGATCGCGATGAGATCGACTCAGACGTCAAGAAGGCTACTTCCACCGCTGTCGAGATCTAATCGGTTGCACGACCGCCATGAGTTACGATCACGTCTGTTCCTGGCTTGATACTGCGGTGATAATCATGCCGGCGCGGCCTATCTATTCTTCGCCCTCTATATGACTGACGGCTGTATTGGTATTCGAAATGACAACGGGGCCAGATGAGCTCGTGTGGTCTAGAACTGCTGAGATATTTGGTGCCTGGGGATTGGTTGTGGATAGACCTGCAGGATAAGCTTTTGGATACGACTGACTACAGGAGATGCCGAGGACAACCGACCTACAAATCATTCACTTTCTGCTTTCCCATAAATTTTGCGGACTATTGTGTGGAGACAACCTGACAGAGTGTACATAGCGTTATCCTTCATAGTGTTATTTTGTATTGCTGGGTGTGGGTGAAGATGAATAGATATTTATTTACCCCTGCTTCGCTTCGTCCAGACACTTAAACGCTCAGATAGACTCTCCTAAGGCTATTTCTTTGTACACTGACAGACACCCGTCGCACAAGGTGCAATATCCCTGTCGATATCGATCTTCTCCATATGCATCCAGGGATCTACCGAGACAGCGACGCCCGCATCCCCGGGCAATGGCCGATTCTCGGCCCCCAATCCGGCCCCCCGCGCCGCCGTCGCAAATATATACCCCTTCTCAAACGCGACTACCTCAATCCGCACATCCTCCACTCTTTTCCCATACAACCAGGTCTTGATACCAGTGTACGGCTCGCCCCAATCCCCCGCCGAGCCCTGCCCCGGCGCAGGAGCAGGCTCAGGCACAATAACATCCGTAAACTCCAGCTCCCGCAGCCACGGCGCAAGAAGCGCCTCACCAGTCATCTTGATATACGCCTCCTTGAGAGCCCAGTACGTGTAGAACAAGCGGAGGCCGTACTCCACCGCTTCGCCGTCCTGTGCGTCAGCCGGGAATCTCCCGCCCAGGTTCTTGATTGTGTCCAGCTCGCGACTGGAGAAGACTTCCGCGAAGATGTCGACGTATTCGGCTAGTTGGTTGCGGGTTGATGGGGCGGAGCTTGTGCGTGCGCGGCGCTCGTTCACGCAGGTGATGTCTATGCCTACCTGTGGGACGGAGGGAGCTGGGACCGAGGATGGGCTGGGGTTGGCGAATACCGTAGTGGGGGTTGTGCTTGCGCCATGGGACGGTGGGATGATTGTGCCTGCGAGGGCTACGAGAGATGCTTGGTGGCTGACGTTGAATTCGATGCTGGGGATGGGCTCGTCGGTGGCCTCCGTTAGGGCGGGAGAGGGGATGAAGCATGGTCGGCGGTGAGGATCTGGTGTGCGACTGATGCTGATCTTGTTCCAGGGGATGCGGCAGGAGCGGTGGATGAAGAGGTATTTCAGCAGGTTTGAGGCGAGGGACATGTGTCTGTCCCTGAGGTGGTAGAACTTCTTGACTGTCTCTTGGTCCGATGGTTGGAGGGTCTCCAACAATGGGAGGGATGGATTTGTCGCTGTCAATTGGCGCGAGTCTATATACCACCGCGTAAGAGAGAGTTTCCTCTCGCTTTGTACAGAGCCCATCTTTCCGGACAGCTGCGAACTAAGCAGTAACGGTTCGCGAGCAAAGAGCTATATCTTCAAATGAGGGAGGAGTCAGGTCAGGACAGGAAGGGCCAGCTGCGTAGGCTTAATTGATCTCTCTGCTACGACAAAATAAGAAAATCAGAAAAACATGCAGTGTCATAAAATGTCATCGATTCATATCCGTCATCATCCAACATGATACTATTCAAAGCGTATGCTATGAGACATCGTGAATCCTTCTGTTGACACTAAAAGCAACAATCTTATCAGTAGGCGGGGTAGCACGTGCTGATAAATACCGGCCGAATGTTGACCCGCTCAGGTAATGGCTGTATACAGGACGAAGAGAGTGGCCAAGGTATGAGTCAAAAAGTTACTATTTTCTACAGTCAGGAATTACCATGGCCAGCATCACTGTCGGGGTTCTCGCTTTACAGGGCGCATTCTATGAGCACATCCAGCTGCTGAAAAAGGCAGTCTCGGAACAAAGCTTTACTGCTCAATGGGAGTTCATTGAAGTTCGGACACCGCAGGAGTTGGATCGGTGTGATGCGTTGATTCTCCCTGGAGGAGAGAGCACGACTATCTCTCTCGTTGCGGCCCGATCGAACCTCTTGGAGCCTTTGAGGGACTTTGTGAAGTATGTTCGCGCATTAAACCGCGAGGCTATCCTGTCAATGCGACTGACAATTTGTTTTCTTAGGGTCCATCGGAAACCGACATGGGGTACCTGTGCCGGGTTGATCCTGCTCGCCGAATCTGCTAATCGAACCAAGAAAGGCGGACAGGAGCTCATCGGAGGTCTCGACGTTCGCGTAAACAGAAATCACTTTGGCCGGCAAACGGAGAGTTTCGAGGCGCCCTTAGACTTGCCGTTCTTGGGTCCGACCGAGCAGTCCTTCCCAGCAGTTTTTATCCGGGCGCCCGTGGTGGAAAAGATCCTGCCTCATCAACAAGGTATCCAGGTGGACGAAACCCGAAGGGACGAGACGGTGGTGGCGCCTTCGAAACAGCCTCAGGATCAGGCGGCCAAGGCGGCGATGGCAGACGGAGTTGAAGTACTAGCAAGTCTCCCCGGCAGAGCAGCTAAACTAGCTGCCGCAGGAACACGTATCGACGCAGATAAAGAGACCGGTGATATTGTTGCAGTCAAACAGGGTAATGTGTTCGGAACAAGCTTTCACCCCGAGTTGACCGGTGATGCCAGAATACATTCCTGGTGGTTGCGCCAGGTGGAGGAATCGGTAAGGAAGAGGAATGGAATATAAAGAGTCATAGACTTGCAATTCTTGAACACGGGATTGTTGATTGTTGGGTATCTGGAAGAATTTTCGTTTCCTGGAACAGCCGGTGCAGTTCACTGGGATGATAGAGATGACCTTGTTGATGTACAAACGCCTTGTCTGCGCCAATAGACCACGGCAATTTATTTCCAAATTACTTACCTTTGCCGTACTCTTCTTCTTCCCGCCTGCGCTGGTCATCTGCGTATGCCCGACCATAACCACCGCGGCCCGGATCGTACTCTTCACGGTATTCGTCGCGCACCTGCCCACCAGATTTTCCTCGTCTTCGCTCAAAGTTAGACACTTCTATTCTTCTCTCTTCTGGTAAAGATGTGGCATCACTTACCCATACTGACGTCCTTCCTCAAAGCCGGGGTCAAGATCTGTACGGATAATTCTCTCGTCAAGCTTGGTGCCTCCGATATACTTTAAGCAATCCAAGGCGTCCTGATGGGTATAGTATTCCACGAAGCAGAAGCCACAGGGAGTTTTGTTGTATCGGTCCAGCCCCATTACAAGGCGCTTGATTTCACCGCACCTATATGCGCCTGTTAGTTCTGGGCCTCATGCCATGATAGGGCTGCGGGTCCGCTGACTTTGAGAAAAGCTCATGAATTTGCTCCTCTGTTGTGTAAAAGGAACTTTAGAGAGTCAGTACGAGCTGTAATTATGGCAATGTTTCGGTCTATAGGTCGACATACAGGTTTCCGACGTAGAGTGTTGTGGCATCCTTCAACTTGTCGACTGGGTCCTCTGCCCTCTCAGAGTCATCCTGGCTGTACTTGCGTTTCTTGTTCTGCCATCCAAAAGACCTTATTAGGAAATGATCAAAGCCAAAAGCAGTTTTCAAGCGCACCTTTGCCAGGTAATAGGCGCTAGGCCGATCCAGCCTATCGACTGTGTTGTGGACCAATGTACTCATTGTATTGTCGACGCGGTCGTATACTTCGGACAGAACAAGGCAATTATTTCAAGGAATATGAGATAATGCAGCTGGATATATGCGAGATAGAGCAATAATGGAGATGACGGGGAATGCAGTTTGAAGACGTAGGATAGCTGGACATCAAGAGCTCCCAAGGGCGGAGCTTTCACCTTGTCTTGGCGCGCTTTTCCTCCTGCAACCCAAAAATCCCCGGCCCGCTGTTTGTTGCTATCGTTGCCGTCATTCCAACCAATCTTCAATCTGAATCAATCTATCCTCCTACCAGCTTACTGAGGTTATGGAATAAACCTCAGCCATCCTCAATTTATTCTGGTTTTGGTTTCAACTTGTTCGCCATAACTGCTGAGGATGCCGAAACTCATCAGCTACACTCCTCCATGGCTATCGCGCCCTGCACCCGGCGCAACACTCTTTGCAAGCACATCGACCAAAAAGCCTGGTTATCTTCCGGAGAATGAGGCGGAGTATAGCGGCCCGACGAGGACATTGGCAAAGCGAGGAAATGAGATCTTCACCGTGGTCAACAATCAGATCCGCTGGTCGAGCCTTACTCGGTTGAAGGATGTATGGCAGCAGCAGTCCAGATCAAAGAAGGATGCCTCTGGTCAAGCAAGGAGCTCTGAGGGACCGTCAGATAGCGATGAGACAGACTATTACAGAGTATGGCTGATTCTCGCACGAGCTTTTGCATGTCTAGCTCATTGTCGTGGCTAATGAATCACTAGGTCCTGATCGTACCAGTCTACGAACGGATTCGGCAGATGATTCCTTCTCCAAATGGCGCCTTTCTGGCTATCGTAACGGATCATACAGTGTACATCGCGGTGCTGCCAGATCCATCACACCTGTCTGGTACGGACCGCTCACCCATTCGTCTCAAATATTACCAGCTTGGTCCCACTACGCACGTTATCCCCGAGTCGCCCGTTGTTTCGGCGCTGTGGCATCCCTTGGGGGTGCACACCAACCTTGGAGGCTGTCTCATCACCGTTACCGCAGATGCCGCAGTTCGGGTATGGGAGCTGGACCGGAACAACCACTGGTCATTCGACCGACCTACGCTGGCGGTCGACCTCAGAAAACTGGTGGACGGAACGTCTTGCGACCAGGACTTTTCACCTTCTGGATTTGGGAAGAACAAAGGATTTTCTGCCGATTTCGTTGATATGGAAGTCGCCTCGGCTTGCTTTGGCGGTAGCGGAAGCGAGAAGGAGAGCGCATGGGCACCCATGACACTGTGGGTCGCAATGCGGCCTGGTGATCTTTATGCCCTTTGCCCGTTGTTGCCTTCCAAATGGCGAGCTCCTGCGACTACTATTCCGTCCCTTACTTCGGCCATTGTTCCAAAATTGTCAGCGATGGAGGGAGACTCGTCGGGATATGAGGATGAGCTGACAGCCTGCCGGCAGCAGTATGACTGGCTCACGGAGATCGATTCCCAGGATCCCCTGCAGACCATTACTGGCTCAGATATGGAGCCTGGGTCGGAAATCCTGACACGTCCCGCAAATCCCAGCGCGATCCCCAGGTTGCAGGGTCCGTTCCGTGTCGACACTGGAGACGAGCTTGATGATTTGGACCTTTGTGACATCCTTGTCGTTGCATCGAAAGTGGATGTGGATGCTCTCATGATGGGCGAGGACGATGAGCTCTCAGTGGAAGACAACGATCAATTGTCGGCCACTGTTATCTGCCTCTCGACGCGCACTGGCAGGGTCCATATCTGCCTTGAACTTGATGGCGTCGAGGGGCAGTGGCTCCCCAAGCTCAAGAAGAATGCCTTCAGTACTCCCCTATCTGAGCCATCTGATTTGGTCTTGGTTGAGTCATTGGATACGCTCAGACAAGAAGACCAGCATTTGAACGACTGGCCGACCTTCACCAACGATGTTATCTCTCGATACAGCTTCTTCGTCACAACTGCAACTAATGTCACGTCTATTTCACTAAGTTCATGGGTGCAGAGGCTTGAGGCCGAGCTCCGGTCAGAGGATACTGCCGGCTCGGCTTTCCGTTTGCAAGTGCTATGCGAAGGCACAGTATCTCTCAGAGAGCGAATCATCGAAGTAGATGACGGTGGCAGTGCTGCTAAAGGCGAATCAGACCATCTGGCTTCTTCTCTGGTCTTCTACGACTATGATCTTGGTTATTTGTTGTTGAGCCACCACGCGTCTCGCCCATATGCTGCCATCATGGATGCGCCTGAGGTTAGCCTTCCACCAATTGCAGATATGGGACCAATTGGTTTAGGGGCGCAGCAGTCAACTTCTCCCATTCTACCACCGAAAAGACCTCCTTACCAAGTCCCTTCAATTCTCTATTCGGACTCACCTCTGGAATTCTTCGTTGAGAAGCATGTTCCTCATCGACAACGCCAGTCGCTCAAAGAGCAGGTGCGCTTGTCACCAGCAACGCTGGACCTGGTTGCTGCTGCACACCGCATTCTGTCTGCTCATACAAATGCTCTTGAGAGAGCAGCATCGGATCTTTTCCGTCGCTGTGAGCGGCTGCAAGGGGAGATGAAGGAGCAACTGAAGCAGCTATCGGACGTGGCTGAGCGCATCAAGGGGGTCTCGAGTGATATTGGTGAGGATGGTCAGCGGCGAGAGGGCTCGAGGAGTGATGAGGCGCTGGACAAGAGGCTGAAGGCTGCAAAGGAGAGACAGGCGCAATTAGCTGAGAGATACGAGTCGCTCCGAAACAAGGTCCTGAAGTCGGGTGGTCGTCCACTGAGCGAGAGGGAGAAGGCATGGCTTTCGGAAGTGGAGGCCCTATCTGCTTCGTTGGAGAGAGAGAAGAAAGAAGAAGAGAAGGATCAGAGTTTGTCACAACGATTGGAAACCGTGAGTTTCATCGCTCTCGTGAACCACACACTGTGATGCTGACATTTACTGCAGGTCAAGGAACTAGCAGCGGATCTGCTGGTCGAGGCCAAGTCCATTGCAGCCAAGGCACCTGGCGCACCGGAGCCTGGGAGCCCGGCGTCCCCCACGGCCGCCGGGCCAAGAGTCCCGCAGAGGCTACAAAGAGCGAAGATTTCCGATGCCATGAGGATGGTCGAGCGAGAGTAAGTCCTATCTTCTAGTGATAAGTGCCGCATTAGCTAAGTCATCGTCTTCAGGTCTGCTGTCATTGAAGCCATTACGTCTCGATTGAACCGACTGAACTCGAGCATCTAAATTTTGACAATGACTGTCGGGATTGGATGGGATATTATCGTTAATCTATGATCATCAATGAAGGTTGCGTAACGTTGAACGGACGAAACGACGCCTGCCAGTAATCCAATACTCACATTAGAAAGTACTCAAAGCACTCATGCTCGGCATTTCGAGTTTATGACTTCCTCACAACTCACATAAACTGGAACGTAGTGACACTGCCCTTCTATGTCCTCCTCTTTGACCGTCCTCTTCCCCAAGACAACCGGATCACAGCTTCTTGACAGATCACACTCGGTTTCCCGGACCATCGACTCCGTCGGCCCTTCATCTTGGGCTGGTTGAAGCGCATCCCCAACCTGACTCTCCTGTTCCGTACCCGGTGTAACCTCCTTCCAGCATTCACTACACATCATCTCGTACTCTCTCTGAATCAGTCGTCGTCTGCGACACCACTCCCAGTACTTGCAGCGGCTGAAGGAGCCATCCCAGATGCATCCGCAGAGTGTGTACTTGCTGGTGTACACTATACACATTTTAACTTGTCCGATTGCTTCGGTTTAGCTTGATTTGATGCTCGAGATGATTGTGGTAGTGGAATCCTGGTATGGTTCTCAACGCTCTGTAGCCATCGGAACCTACGTTCACTGCATTTGTCGATCTTCTTGATGTGTCCCAAGGTGACCTCATTAGGGAGGTCAGCAACTCAGTTATGCCCTTGTTGTCGGCTTTACTGCACGGTACGCTTGGATTCTCAACAGCCGTTCCCTTTAGGAAGAGTGGACCGAAGTAGAACTCTGGGATTGGTGAAAGGTTCGCCATTTCTGCTGCGGCTGATCCACAATGGTGATATTACTTTGTTGATGTGACTTCTG